AAATGGAACTATTTTGGTAGTCGGTCCCTTCGATAGTGGACAGGGCACTAGGCATTCCCCTGCTCCATGGCCTCTAGCCCACCTTAGAGCAGCCCCCCTGGCTGCTTTATCTATTGGGTGTCACATAAGATATTGTAGGGGAGGGAAATGCCCTCAAAAGTCAGAGAGCCACTGGGCTATATGATTTCTGAGATCCCTTCCAGCTCCAGTGGTGTGATTTTATGAACTTAAAATTGAGTCAGAGCCTTGAAAGCTGAACTCACAGTGCCAGAGCTTTGTGTGTAAGTGCTATGGGTATTTCTGCAGGCGGATAGTCCGGAAGACATGCACAGCTGGATCAAGGAGATCGGGGCAGCCGTCCAGGCCCTCAAGTGCCACCCCAGAGTAAGTCACTTCCTTTCCACTGCACATGGTCAACTTAAGACATGCCATCTCCTCAAGTGAGCATATTTTATTTGGTGTTGTAGGCGGCAGTTGAAGCCCAGGGTGTCTTACTTGGTTTTCTGTTTCTACTAATTTGTGTACAGATTTTCCTTTCTCTGGTTGTTGCAGGAGGTGAGGTAGGGTTGGGAAGAGAAATAGGGTTTTCTGATGTGCCCAGGTCTCCCTGCCAGGCAGACCGTGACATATGGGGCATGAATTCCACTGAGCCAATTCCATTTCTGTAGACTGGTGCCCCGGATCCAAGAGGTGGCAATCCTGGGTGGGGACTTGGGATAAACATCATTGGGAGAAACCCTTATTTTACTCTCTCTCTCTCTTCCCTTTTGTTTTGTTAGGAAATATCCTTTTCTAGATCCATTTCTTTGACGAGACCTGGAAGTTCCAGCCTCTCGGGTGGACCCAACTCTATCTTGGGCAGGGGGCGTCCACCTGTGGAAGAAAAGAAGGCCCTCTGCAAAGCCCCCTCCATGGCCGCCTCGTGGCAACCCTGGACACCTGTGCCCCAGGCCGGGGAAAAGCTGCTTCCTGCCGAAGAGACGCCAGAGGACTCTTTGTTCTTGCCTCGGCTTGGCGAGAGCAACGCTGCTGGGGTGTTGCCCAGCTCCCGGATGAGGCACAGATCAGAGCCCCAGCACCCCAAGGAGAAACCATTTGTGTTCAACCTGGATGATGAGAACATACGGACCTCTGATGTGTGATGAAGCCCAGAGCCCTGGGAGGGAGGGAGGGTAGGAGGGCTGGAGAGAAAGTGGCTGTGACTCAGTTTCTCTGCCTTGTTGGAGGGTGGCCAGAGGCCTTTGTGGCACCCATGATCCTGTGGATGCTCTGTGGGAGGGGCCCATATGACTGGCTTCCCCCTCCCCCCTTTGTAATATCAACACAGTGTATTTAATTTGGGAAAATCAGTAGGCTAGACATGGAGGCATCCTCAGGGGGAGAGCAGGTTGCCTCTTGTTGAACTATTCCCATGTCTTCTGGGTGAGGGGTTATTGTAGCAGTGCCTTTCTGGAGGAGGGTGGGAGTCCAGTTGCACCGGCCCAAGCCAGTTTTATTTCCTTGTTCCTGTTTTAGTTTTTTCATTGAGTTTCCGGTCCAGGAAGAGAGTCATATGCCAGTCACCTGGTTTTATCCCATTCCTGTTTGTTGGCTGAGGCTTGTGCAGTGGGTGGGTGAGAACCAACCCCAGTGGAAGGTAGAGAGATGGTGGAAGAGCCAGGCCTCGGCTTCGCTGGGATGCATTCTGAGAGGTGCTGTTAAAAATCTCTGGGCTGGAGGGCAGCTGCTGGGGCAGATCCTTAGGGGAAGAGATGGGCGCCCCCTTGTAAGGTGTGGGGAGTAATTCACCCCCAGTGCATCAGCCAGCTTTGCAAAGCCCTTTCTTCTCCTCCAGATGCTCTTTGATCCCAGGGACTATAGATGCATGCAAAAGACCTACCCAACCCAGTTTCTGTGTTGGGCCCCAAGGATGGGTTTATCAGTGTTAAACGTTACTACAGTTGACAACCTAGCATTTCCCAGGACACGGTGTTATTTGGGATGTGTGGAGGGTTGATGAATGTGTGATGATTCACATGTGTAATAGATGGAGCTCCGAGTTTCATGGTAACATTAACACAGGTGCTGGGAAGGGATGGATTAAAGTCCATCCAGCTAAGCCTTGTGATCCATGTTTTCCAGACAACAGGAAAATCCTGTTTTGGCAAAGATTATCTTGAATCCTTGGGCCTCACAGTTCTTTTTGCATGGCCCAACATTAGCATAATTTTAAGTGCTGTGTTTTGTAGACCCTGACAGATTGACTTTCTTTGCTTTTTATTATTTGAGAGGCACACACAGAAAGACCTAGATAAGACAGACAGAGCGCCCATCCACTAGTTCACTTCCCAAATGCCCATGCCAACCAGATCTGGGCCTGGTAGAAGCTGGGAGCTGTGAACCCAATCCACATCTCCCATGTGGGTGGCAGGGATTCAACTGTTTTGAGTCATCACTGCTGCCTCCTAGGGTTTGCATTAGCTGGAAGCATCGGGAGCACAGCCAGAACTTGAACCCAGGAACTCTGATAGGGGACATGGACATCTTAACCCTAGGTCAAACACCCAACCGGCTTTCATTTTTCATTCTTTGTGTTGCTCTTTGAATGAAGCCTTCTGTGCATGCATGATCAAACCCTGTAATCCGATGAAGGTTCTGTGTACTTAACAGTAGAGAAATGCAAAGATAACCTTGAGATACCTGTGTTTTTAACGAAGTGGAAATTAGGCCAGAGAAACATTGAATCTGACGTTACAAGTTGCTGGCTAGGGATTTTCCAGGTAGAAGAGCATAGAAGATTGAGTTTCCTTTCCAGGTTTCAGGACATTATTTCCTTCCATTTGGTGAGAAGACACCACTTTCTGTGGCTCCTGGGAGAACCTTGTCCAGCCAACATACATGGTGAAATGCCACTGGGAACTCTCTAGGGGTTCCCTAAGTAGAGAAAGAACTTAGCTCATTTCTGTCTGCAACTTTAACCAGCTAGATCATTTAATATGTGTTGTAACTAAAATTAGTGACTAGAGGAAGGAGACTAAGAGAAGCATTTTTCCCTAAGTACATCCCGTCTCCTCCCGTGTCCATGCCTGATGCAGAGGGGACACACTTGATGAGAAAAGTCCCTATGCCTGGGAGGAACCGTGTTTTCCTGAAGTTTGTGACCCTCTGAGAAGCCAGTTTCACTGTGTTGCATTGGAGCTGCCCCTCTCCAAAACGAATTTGATCTGTTGGTCCTGGCATAAAAACGGAAATTCACCGCTGTATCTCTTCCGCCTTCTGTTTCCTCCCTCTTTTCTGTAAACTCATGTACTCTCTGTCCTCAAATGCTGGCTTATGAATGGTCAAGGTACAACATGAGTTAAGTAGGCTGATTTCCTGAAGCCATTCTTAATTCCTGAAGTTCCTTGTCTCTGGCTTAACCTTCACGTTTTCCTAAAGAAAATTCTTCGGCTACTGAAAGTACACAATGCAATGTAGAAATCATGAAAATAAACTGGGAATGTTTGCTGTTTCTTTAGACATTCCCTTACTCATGCAAAAGACGTCATCTTTTGGTGTTTAAAACTGTGAAACTCTACCCATTTCTCCCTTTTTAAAAATAAACTCTCTGCTAGATTGCTATTCTTAAACACATTGGCTGTTAAAGTGATAGTGCTCTTAATCAGTAAGATCTATTTTGAGAATGTGTTAAACATGTTTATAATCCAGATTGTATTGTCTTGGTAAAGGGACAACAAGAATTCTGATTGTCAAATACTTGGGAATTTCAAGTTACAACATTGTCGGTGTAGTTCCAGTATCAGATAAATACAGTGATCTCCACAGGCATTCTCATTTCCAAATCTTATTTCAGGATTCCCTTTCTGTCCATATTTCTTACCTTCTGGACAGTTTTACACCATAGTCTTTCAATTTGAGCCAAAGATGGTGCATGCATGACCAAAGCATTTAGTTTTAAATGTCTATAACAGAGCCAAATAGAAAAAAACAGGGTGAGGATAGGTTAATGGTTAAGTGCATATAGGCTTGGGAACAAATGTGAGTTTTAGAAAAAAGAAATGGAAAAAAGGTACTGCATTTTCTCTGGAATAAAAACCTTCTCTGAGTTGGGATCTTTCTTAGAAGGCTTTTGAAGTGGTCTTGATGCCACTGTTTATGATAGTATTTCAAGTGCTCCCCTCACCTCTCTGTCATCCTTGAAAGCTTTGTAGGACTTGCTTACTCAGGGTCTGTTGCTAGATGCAAATAGTTTGGTCTTTTGCATTCTGTAAGGTACCACAAGGATGCTAAGGGTACACATCCACCTCAGGTCAAGATAGTGGACTGACACATCTGTTTCTGAGTTGAATGAGAGAGTAGATTTAACTAGCTTCTTAGTTTACTTGAAGCAAACTATGTTCTCCTTTTTGAAAGTTAGAGGCCAAAATGACCGCATAAATAAATAGCAGATTCAGCCTAACGTTAGCAGTCAGATTTGATAGGTTGGTTTTCAGTGTTAACCAGGTCAGCAGGCATATGGAGGCAGTGGCCTCTCCAAAAGTGAGTTTCCCAAGTCAGCTTTACTGAGCATGGCAGAAGTGGACAGGGTTCTTGACAGCCACTTCCTCTCACTCCCCACTCCCCTTTTCTGTCTCTGTGTTAACTGCCTGCAGCAATTACAGTCACTCATGCTAGGTAGCCTGCGGATTCAGCGAACGTTTGGCAAAAACGCCCTGTGTGTCCGCATCCCCTCTGGTCAGGGAAGGTGTGGCATGATTGCGTTTTCAACCGGTGTGTTCCAGCCGTGAAATGCACTGGTTGTAAAGTGCCGGCGAGCTCAGCGCATGGAACTGTACATGCTTCTCATTTGATATGATCTCTTAGTTGGTATGTAGCAAAGAATACTTTTCTAAGACTGTTTCGTTGCTTGTTTTGTAATAAAACCATGTGAAATACTGAAGCATGGTCGCGTGTTTTTCTCATACTGGCCCTCTGGCCGTGGGTGGATGATTTCTCTGGTCAGTCTGCCCCCACACCCCACCCCGAGAAGTGGGTCCATGCGCAGGCCAGCGCTGGGGACGTCCGTGTACTGCCTGGGGGTGGGCGCTGCCTCCGGGCCCCGGGGTGGGGGGTGGATGGTACAGGGTGTGTTTCTGAGGATCTCTGCCAAGGTCCGCCACTTAAAGCCTGGGACCTGGCAAAGGCGGCGTCCCAGCCCAGAGAAAGTATTGCTCATCCCAGAGCCACTTCGGGGCCAGAGTGAAGTAACTGGAAAAGTGGACGCAGGCAGAGAAGGGAGCAGGATGCCCAGACCGCAGCGGCTGCCCGCTGGGCTCGGGCCACTCCTTTGGCTGGGGCTGCTGCTGCTGGGCCCCGGGCCTGTCCCCAGCGTCGAGGCGAGGAGGTCCAGGGCCTCGATGCCCTGTCCCGCAACCTGCGAGCCGACGCGCTGCCCGCCACTGCCCACCTGCTCTGCGGGGATCACTCCCGTGCTCGACCGCTGCCGCTGCTGCCGCGTCTGCGCCGCGGCTGAGGGCGAAGCGTGCGGCGGGCTGTGGGGCCGGCCGTGCGCCCTGGGGCTGCAGTGCCGCGCCGAGCGTGTCGGCGGCGCCTGGCAGGGCACCTGCGGCTGTCCGGCGGTGGGGGCGGCCATGTGCGGCAGCGACGGGCGCACCTACCCGAGCCTGTGTGCGCTCCGTGCCGAGAACCGCGCCGCGCGCCTCCGGGGCGCACTGCCGGCGGTGCCCGTGCAGAAGGGGAGCTGCGGGGACCCAGGTGCGCCGGGGACGCTGATGGAGTGGAAGTCACCTTATTCGCGGAGGGGGTGGGGGTGTTCTCTCTGCTCAGTTCTTGCCTCCTTAATTAAAGGTGGAGGAGACGACGGAGAGAAAGGAGAGGGGAAGGGGAGCCGGGGAGGGAGAAGGGAGACCCCAAGCAGTGGAGCGTTTCTTCCCAGGGACCGGAAGCGCAGGCCGGCTCCGGAGCAAGTACAACTTCATCGCTGCGGTGGTGGAGAAGGTGGCGCCGGCTGTGGTTCACTTGCAGCTGTTCCGCAGGTAAAGGCGGTGGGAGGAAGACCCACAGCCCCAGCCGACTGTTTTCTGGTGCCTCCGGGGCCCTCGCCACGCCTCGCTTAACCCCAAAAATCACTTTGCAGAAACTGAGGCTCGGGGTGATTTAGCAAGAGAGCAGAGGCACAGCACAGGCAAGGACTTTGGCTTTCAAAGCTGAGCCGCTCCTGTACACTTAGGGGGCTGGGATGTCTTTCTCCCTCACCTTCCATCGGCAACATTTAAGGCCCGATGTAAGAGCTGATAGGCATTGTGTGTGTGTGTGTTGAGGGGGGGGGGGGTCTCGCCCAACCCCCTCTTCTATCTGCAAGGAAATCCAGTCCCCAGAGAGAAGGATTACTTTGTTCTAAATACAAGGCCAGGGGGTAGCCAGAACTTTCATTGCTTTTCCCTGATGCTGCGGGGCCAGGCCCACGTTTGTCTGTGGTATCCGGAATGCGATCATCAGCGTAAGCCCATGGGGCGCTTCCCTGAGCAGCCTGGAAGAAGAGATTAGTGTCCTATAGAAAGGGAGAGTTGATGGCCAGGGCACTCTGGGCCTGGCTCATTTGTACATGGAGGGAATGAAAACACAGATGGGGAAAAGTAAAATGTCCCAAGAAACTGTGATGTGTGTGTGTTTAATAAATGTGACTTTCTGACTCACAGCCTGGGAGCGGCTGCCCTGGTTTCACTGCCCTGTGCTTACCTGGTTGTCCTGTGGAGACAGGTCACCTCTGAGCAGCAAGGACATTCCCGCGTCCAGTGGCTCCGGGTTCATAGTGTCGGAGGACGGACTCATTGTCACCAACGCTCACGTGCTCACTAACCAGCAGCGCATCCAGGTGGAGCTCCAGAGTGGGGTCCAGTATGAAGCCACTGTCAAGGACATTGACCACAAATTGGATCTTGCCCTGATTAAGATCGAGCCAAATGTGAGTATTTGAGGTTGAAGAGTTAAGAGTGTGTATATCTGAAGATTTTTCATCTATGTGCCGATGTTTTCTTTCTCACTCTATGGCTATGCCACAGCTTTCTTAGCTAGCATGAAAGGACTTCAAAAAGTTGGTGGGAAAATGGAATGAAAGGTAAGTTGATTTTGGTGTCAAACATTTTGAAATCCATGCATAGTTTTTTTTCATAATGTGCATTTTCCACGAACTTTTTGAGGAGTCAAAACTTTCTGATGATTTTTTCCCCTGGATTCTGTTTTTTGCTCTCTCCTGAGTTTAACAATTTCAATGAACCCCTCAATAGTCAACAACCCCTCCCCACCCCATCTTTTTTTTTTTTTTCCTCCTGTAATTCCTTCTTCAACAGATGCTGCTTCTGGGAAAATTATTTCTGTGTTTGTCTCAGTGTACCAGATATTATTGCTATGAACTCAGAGCTGCTAAGGGATATTTTGAAGTCCTGGCTGCACAAAGTATGGTCTGCACTCCAGAACGTCGATTGACCTGCAGACGATATGCAGACAGCTTTATAAAAAGGCAGATTTTCAGAATGCACCCAGCTCTCCTGACTTGGAATCTGCATTTTAATAAGATCCCAGGGTGATCTGTGTGCACATTTATTTGAGAAGCTTCCTCCCAGGAGCTCTCCTTTCCATTTGTGGCTTTTTCACCTTGTAAGTTTTGAACTGGAATAGTGCTACATAATTGCTAAGGTCAATTTATCTTTTTCAGTTCCTTCCCAGGTGCTTTATTGATACTAACTTCTATAAGGCAGTACTTTTAGATCTTAGAGGTGCCCCTGATCATCAAGGAGTGAGGGCTTGCAGAAAGTAGTGTGGGGCAATCGTTGAACTTGCATGAGTGGGTGCATCTTAGATGATGAAGGCTAAAATGATAGTGGTGGGGTCACATGTGTGTTATGCACAAATACCAGTCATTTCTGTCCTGATGTATTCTTTGAGTCTTGATGTAATCTTTGCCTGTCTGTCCTCCTGGCCCTTCCTTGCTTGTGTGCAGACTGACCTTCCTGTACTGCTGCTAGGAAGATCATCTGACCTTCGGGCTGGAGAGTTTGTGGTGGCCTTGGGCAGCCCGTTTTCTCTGCAGGACACAGTGACTGCGGGAATTGTCAGCACGACACAGCGAGGGGGCAAAGAGCTAGGGCTGAAGGATTCGGACATGGACTATATCCAGACCGATGCCATCATTAACGTGAGTCATGAGGAGGTCCTTCTTCAGCCCGTAAGATCCTGGCAGTGCAGTGAGAAAAGCAGCAAAATTCGAGAGCAGCCTCTTTTCCCTGTGGCTTCTTTGTGTGTGGGGGGATGTCCAGAGTTCAGTTAGATCACCGGGAGAAGAATGCAATGCCCTGTTCTTAGAGACTAAGCTGTTGGATGTGTTGATCAGGGGTCAGGATGCTGAGTGGTCTCTGAGGCTGTGTCCTAGAAGTCACAGTTGATGTTGACAGTGGTGGTCCTCACCTGTCCCTACGCTGACTGCAGTACCGGTCGTGATAGGGTACACATTTGCCTGCCCTGGGGGAAACAGGAGTTTATAGAGTGGATTGCTTATGGTAACCCTCTTTGGGAAGTATGTGTAAATGACAAGGAGAAATGTATTCAACTGGCCTTACTGATGCTTTTTCCAAATTCTGTCTCTAGCACGGGAATTCTGGTGGGCCTCTGGTGAACTTGGTAAGTGGCCACTTTCCCTGCTGCTTCATGTTTCTTCCTAATTTTCAAAGACTTTTTCCGAATGCTGTGATGCTGATGTATGTGCCGCTCTTGCGTGGAGGGTTGTGGGGTGGTGCTTTGCTACCCTTGGATCTTGAGAAGGACGTCAGGAGATAGTCAAGGTCTGTGATGGGTGGTCTCGTCCCAGCGACAGCACCAGGGTTCTGGCTCTGGCTTGCTTCAAATTTTTCTCCTTCAACACATTTTCTGTTTTCTTTGGAGAGTTACCCAAAGCCCTGGATATTAAACCCAGATTAATGCCAAATTTCCAACTGTGCTGTGTCATGTATATCCTTAAAAAGTCTCTGTGAATAACTGCTTGTCATCTAAAAATGCCGATTCCATCACGAGCCTGGTCTTCATCTTGACCCGCTTAGAGGGAGGAAGGGCCGCAGCCAGAACTCATTGCTGTCATGTATTTTGTTCTTCAGTTTTTGTCTGTAGTGGAAAGGCCATGGATTCTAGTTGTGCAAATGTAAGGGAGTGCAGTGATCTTTGATTCCCAGCCTGGGATTGTGTTTCCCAGGCCCTTTTGAGCTGATTGTTTTGGCTCTTCTTTAAATATTACATTTTTTCTTTACTATTTATTCATTATTTATTTGAAAGGCAGAGAGACAGAGAGAGATCTCCCATCCCCAAATGTCCCCAATAGCTGGGGCTGGGCCAAGTTGAAGCCAGGAGCTGGGAACTCCATCCAGGTCTTCCATGCAGGTGGTGAGGACCCAAGTTAGCTATCATCTGCTGCCTCCCAGGGTTACATTAACAGGAAACTGGAGTTGGACTCAATATGGGATGTGGTGTCTCAAGCAGTGACTTTTTTTTTTTTTAAGATTTATTTATTTGAAAGAGTTACAGAGAGAGAGAGAGAGAGAGAGAGAGAAGGGAGAGAGAGAGGTTTTCCATCTCTTGGTTCACTCCCCAGATGGCCACAATGGCCAGGTCTAGGCCAGGCTGAAGCCAGGAGCCAGGGGCATTTCCTAGGTCTCCATGTGGGTAGCAGGGGGCCCAAGCACTTGGGCTGTCCTCTGCTGCTTTTCCCAGGCTACTAGCAGGGAGCCAGATTGGAAGAGGAATAGCAGAGACAGGAAACTGTGCCCACATGGGATGCCAGCATTGCAACCAGCAGCTTTGTCTGCTGTATCACAACACTGTGCTCTCAAGCGGTGACATTACTGCTGCACCCAGTGCTCACCCTGCATTTGCTTTTAAGAAGATGCATTGTATGTGAAATGAATGCTTTTAACTCATAACACTGTATGTAACTTTTTGTACCTGCTTTTTTATTAAAAAAAATACAATGAGTTAATGAGAACAAGTATGAAATACAGAATTTCAGGTTGCTCTTCTGAATTATAATCCGTATTTGAATATGATGAGAAATCTCTTTTCTGTCTTTTGCATTGTCAAAGGCTAACAGATGATGAAGTACATTACCAGGAAAGTATTTTCTACTTTGTATTTTTATCTTATGCGACCTTAGTTGCCTAAAGTCAATTTTCCCAATTTCTTCTGAATGGCTTCCTTGAAGTGTTGCTACAACTCCAACAAATTTTTGCCTTTTTCCCATGCTTATTTTTAGTCTCATTAAAGTAATAAAAAGGCAAATACTCCTTGTGTTTTTATTTATATCAAAGCACAAGCTATGACTCCATTTTAAAGTCAGTGTAACTTACAGAGGGAAAAAACATGAGCTCAATATAAAAAACCAACATTCTCAGCTGCCTTGACCCTTTGACCTTGAAAGAAAAGGTAGCTTTGCCCCTGGGCAGCTCCACTCTGCTATCCTACCACATTACGTGCCCTGGAAAGTAATAGCCATTGCTGTCTAAAAATTCCCTCTAGGGCCGGCGCTGCGGCTCACTAGGCTAATCCTCCGCCTTGTGGCGCCGGCACACCAGGTTCTAGTCCTGGTTGGGGCGCCGGATTCTGTCCTGGTTGCCCCTCTTCCAGGCCAGCTCTCTGCTGTGGCCTGGGAGTGCAGTGGAAGATGGCCCAGGTACTTGGGCCCTGCACCCCATGGGAGACCAGGATAAGTACCTGTCTCCTGCCATCGGATCAGCGCGGTGCACCGGCTGCAGCGCGCCAGCCGCGGCGGCCATTGGAGGGTGAACCAACGGCAAAGGAAGACCTTTCTCTCTGTCTCTCTCTCTCACTGTCCACTCTGCCTGTCAAAAAAAAAAAAAAAAAAAATCCCTCTAGTTCCTGTGTGATGAGCGGCACCCCTACCTCTGCTTGCTGTGGTTTGCACTGCTCAGTTTGCAAAACCCTGATTGAAAGAGGTCTCCTCCCTTGCCAGGACGGGGATGTGATCGGCATAAACACGCTGAAGGTGACCGCAGGCATCTCCTTTGCAATCCCCTCAGATCGCATCCGACAGTTCTTGGCCGACTACCACGAGCGCCAGTTGAAAGGTAGAGGCTGTTGGGATTGTCGCAGTGCCCGCGTGTGTTTCATTCTTTGGAGATAACCGCTTGAACGCTGTTTAGGCCTGGGCTACTCAGATTACAGAATGTGGGCTTGGTGGCAAAGCTGAGCTTGAATTGTACCCGGAAGTACTTGGATCAAACCGGGTGAGGGGATGAGCGCGTGGGCCGGAGGTGGGGAGCTGGGTGGGAGAAGCGTGGGTGCTCGTGACGGGGGTTCTCTGAGCCATGCATTTCACCGTGGACAGATAGCAAAGAGGGTACCTGGGTCGCTGTCTCTGCAGTTCTGTCAGAGGGAGGGAAGTTTCGTGGATCGTAAGGCATTATCATTTCCTTTTCCAGGAAAGTCTCTTTTACAGAAGAAATACTTGGGTCTGAGGATGCTGCCCCTCACTATGAAGTAAGTATGAGTGCGAACATGTGTGTGTGTGTGTGTTTTAAAAGATTTATTTATTTATTTATTTGAAAGAGTTACACAGAGAGGAGAGAGAGAGGTCTTCCATCAGTTGGTTCACTCCCCAATTGGCTGCAATGGTCGGAACTGTGCTGATCCAAAGCCAGGAGCCAGGAGCTTCTTCTGGGTCTCCCATGTGGGTTCAGGGGTCCAAGGACTTAGGCCATCTTCCACTGCTTTCCCAGGCCACAGCAGAGAGCTAGATCGGAAGTGGAACAGCCGGGTCTTGAACCCGCGCCCATAAGGGATGCCGGCACTGCAGGCCAGGGTGTTAACTCACTGGGCCACAGTGCTATCCCCCCCCCCCCCTTTTTTTAACAGGCAAAAGTCATAGCTGGACAGTGTTCAGGAAAAGTGAAAGTTTTGGGCTACAGTAGGCACTGTGGTGGCCAGAGGCCCAATTTTCACAGGGTCTGTATCTGCCTCGGCCTGCACATGTGTCTCTCACTGTGGCTGCATTAAATGATGTCAGGTGGTTCTAGGCTTTGGACAGAGGATTGGACCTCCCCCCCTGGGGACGGTGTCTGTGAGTGGCCTGAGGCCATGCCGCTAGTGCCTGGAGCCTTGAGCGTAAAAGACGAAGCACCTGTTCAGAGCTGCAGGCTTTTGCCAGGGCTCGGGGCTCAAGACACTGCTTCCTAACCTTTCCACTTTTCACAGCCTTCTTCAGGAAATGAAACGGCAAGATCCAGATTTCCCTGATGTGAGTTCTGGGGTTCTAGTATACGAAGTGATTCAAGGAACAGCTGCTGAGAGGTGAGAGGCGTGCTCAGCTTCCTTTGTTCCTTCTAGATCTGTGCAGTGGTAAATGTGGGTGGGATCTAGACGAGCTCTGTCCACGGTGGTGGCTACTACCTATATGTGTGTTTAACATTTGGAATGGATTTAATCAGTTAAAAAAAAAAACCAGAAGCACTGTACATTTATTTTTATTTGATAGGCAGAGGGACAGACGGAGAGAGGGACAGATGTACAAAGAGACAGAGAGAACTCCCTTCCTCTAGTTAACTTCCCAAATGCCTGCAGTGGCTGGGTCAGGCCTGGCTGAAGCTGGGAGCTGGAAACTTAATCCAGGTCTCTCACAAGGGTGGCAGGGACCTATGTACCTGAGCCATCATCTGCTGTCTCCCAGGATGTGCATTAGCAGGGGCCTGGAATCAGGAGTGGAACTGCTCCTCAAACCCTCTCTGATATGAGATATGGGGGGGAGTCCCAACTGATGCCTTAACTACTAGACCAAATGGCTGCTCCAGTGTAAAATATTCCCTCACTAAACGTACCTTTTCTATTTTGGAAGGATTGCGTTTCACTATGGAAGATGCTGTTGTTTCATATTGAGCGTGCATATTGTTGAGTGGATTTCAAAGATTGATATGAACAAGTCTAAAATGCTTATTAATAATTAAAAATATGAAGTATGTTATAGTGATAATATCTTAGATATAGTTAAGTAAGATACATTATCAATGTAATCTGAGAGAGAGATCCATCCGCCAGTTCAATCCCAAATGGCTGCAACAGCCAGGGCTGGGGCAGGCTGAAATCAGGAACCTGGAACTCCATCCAGGTCTCCCACATGGGTGGCAGGGGCCCAACTTCTTGAGCCATCCTCTGCTGCCTTCTCAGGCACATTAGCAGGGAGCTGGATTTAAAGTGGAGCAGCTGAGACTTGAACTCATATCCATATGGCATGCAGCTGTCACAGGTGGCAGCTTAACTCTGCACCACAATGCTGACTCCAAAGTTTATTCAAATATATAATTATTTAAATAATTGATGATTAATAATTTTTCAGAATGGGAGGAATCCTAGGTGCTCTCACTTTTAGTATATGTTTTAGGCATTTTCATACCCTTTTTTCCTGTAAAGTGAAAGGTAGAACAGCCCTCAAAGAAGGTTCTCCAGCTGATTTTGCTGTTTCTTTTAGGAATTTATTTAGCTGAAAGTCAGAATTACAGAGATAGAGAGGGAGAGACAGAGATCTTCCATTTGCTGATTCACTCGCCATGGCCAGGCCTGGGCCAGGATGAAGCCAGGAACCTGGAACTTCTTTTGGGTCTTCCACATGTTTGCGATGCTTTCCCAGGCACATTAGCAGAGAGCTGGATCAGAAGTGGAGCAGCTGGGACTCGAACTGGTGCCCAAATGGGATGCTGGTGCTGCAGGCTATGGCTTAAGCCATTGCACCTCAGTGCCATCCCAACTCTGCCTTTCAAATAAATAAATAAATCTTAAAAAAGTACTATTTAGCACAGCTGTTAGGATGCAAGTTATTAAAGTGGGCTTATCATAGACTTTTCCAGACTTTCCTGGCTCCTGGCCTGCTCTGCCAACCCCCTCATTATTTTAATTTCTTATTCGTGGCTAGGGTTTTATTCCTTTGAGTTCCGTAAGTCCTTGCTATTGAAAATGTGGTCTGTTATCTAGTAGCTTTGGCATCAACTGAAGCCTTTTTCAGAAAAGCAGAGTCTCGGGCCCCACCTTTGAGCCACTGAATCAGAATCTACTGTTTTAACAAGACCCACAGGTGATTCATATTCACCTTCAAATGCAACATTACATGGACGTCACGGACACATGTGAATCTGGCTTTCTGGCATTTATCCTTAATGATAATGATAACAGCTGGCACTGATGAAGCATTTACTCTTTGTCAGGCACCATTTCTTTTTTTAAAGATTTATTTATTTATTTGAAAGGCAGAGTTACAGAGAGGCAGAGGCAGAGAGAGAGAGCTTCCATCCATCAATTAAGTCCTCAGATGGTTGCAATGGCCAGAGCTGGGCCAATCCGAAGCCAGGAGCCAGAAGCTTCTTCTTCCAGTTCTCCCACATGGGTGCAAGGGCCCAAGGACTTGGGCCATCTTCTGCTGCTTTCCCAGATGCATTAGCAGAGAGCTGGATGGGAAGCAGAGCAGTGTAGACTCAAACCGGCACTCTGAAATGGGATGCTGGTGGCTTAAGTGGCCCTGCCACAATGCTGTCCCCAATCTCCATATATATATATTAAAGATTTTATTTATCTATTTGAGAGGTAGAGTTAAGAGAGGGAGAGGGAGAGGTTTTCCATCCACTGGTTCACTCCCAAGATGGCTGCAATGAGTGGAGCTGGGTCTGAAGCCAGGAGCCAGAAGCTTCTTCCAGGTCTCCCATGGGTGTGCAGGGGCCCAAGCGCTTGGGCCATTACTGCTTTCCCAGGCCATAGCAGAGAGCTGGATCAGAAGAGGAGCAGCCAGGACACAAACTGGTGCCCATATGGGATGCTGGCACTTCAGGTGGAGGCTTAGCCCACTACACCACAGCACTGGCCCCTAAACTCCATTTATCTTGATAATCCTTCACACTATCATTCTTCCTTGAACTTCTCATTTCTCTTAACTGGTGTCTCCTGAAGCTATTTAAGTGAATGGTTTTCTTCCAGCCTATTTTCGCCTGTAGATGAAGCAGCAGCATAGCTATATATTTATTGCAGTTTTGTATTTGAACTGGTTTTTGTTTATAGAATATATTTTCTATGTGAAGCAAAGATGATGGAGACTGAGTATAACCCCAACTATGGGGCAAAGGAGCTTAGAATCAGAGCTTTAAGTGTTTTAGACTTGGAGGGTTGACCAGAAGCAGAACTTCTGCAGTGCCGCTCAGTGTGCACTCCAGTTCCACAAGCTGTGGGGGGAATTGGGCTTTTCACTGCTGCTGCTGGCGAGTCTGGGGGTGCGCTTGAGGTTCACAGGAGCCAGAGATGAACAGCCAGTGAAAGCCATACCTCCGTTCAGAGCCAAATGCAGCATATGTGGGAGGAGTACACTTCTTACATGAGATTCTGATAGGATGTCATTCTTACAAACGTTAAGAGGGTGGCTGTCCTTCAGGGTTCTCCCAGAATATTTAAAACACTAGTTCTAGTTTCCTGGTTTGTGTATGTTCAGCGCCAACAAAGTAGAAATACCTTAAGAAAGGAGATGTTGGATTTTAGACGGGGATAAATATGCTCTTCCTATATTTTCATGGTCTTTTTATTTCTGTATTTATTTTCCCTTCTCTCCCAGCTCTGGGTTAAGAGACCACGATGTGATTGTCAGCATAAACGGGCAACCTGTTACTACCACCACTGATGTCATCGAGGCTGTTAAGGACAATGATTCCCTTTCTGTCATTGTTCATCGAGGACGTGAAACCTTGTTGCTGATGGTCACACCTGAAATAATCAATTAAGTTTCTTGCTTTAAAGAGAGCTTATCTCACAAAACCAAAGTTATATTATCTGGTTTGTATTGAAGATGTGCCAAAGATGGCAAAAGATTTTAAAATCTTTTGTATAAAGAAAAATGGATGCTTTCACCACATACATGTCCAGAGATCATTAGCCTGGGGGTGCGGGTGCTGAGAAGCCTTATTAAGCCAAGTGGAAGAAGGATGTGGTGCCAGGAAGTCTGGGGAGCTGATAAAATTTTATTCAAAGAAAAGAAATAACTAAAAAAAAAAAAAAAGCACAGTTGCTAATTTAACCTTGACAGAGGGATACTTCAATGTTTTTAATTTTCTCTATAGGCACAAACTAGATGCAACACGTGGATACACAAATACATCTATCTACCAAATATTTAAAAAAAAACATTCACCTGAATCTGGGTTGCCCAGTTTTAAATAATACTCAGACTCAATCAGTTCTTCAGGTTGGCTGGGGTTTGTGGCTGGCACAGAATGGGCATCATTTAGAAATCAAATTGAAATAGACAATTATAGGTTATCACAGAGGAGTATTACTGATGATTCTCAAATTGTCACTGTAGCAGTGGAAACAACTTTGGTCTCCAACAGCTTTTCTGACCGTGGGAAAGACTCCTATCTCATAGCTTCTAGAATAATTTACAGACTTTGAGCTTTTAACCCCAACTTTTCTTCCTGACAACATTAATGATTTAAAGTCTTGGAGCTACCAGTTTATTTCTCTTAAAACAACTTTTGATGGCATTTATGAATACCCTTAGGGAGATTTAAAGATGCATGTGGGATGAGGCAGGACTTTTGACTTAAAGTAGTATTTTATTTTGGGAGCGATTTTAATTTTAGTTTCTGTTGTTTCTCAGACTACCCTTAAAAATGTTTTTTTTTTTTTGGGAGGTCTAGTCTCTTCATGACACACAATAAGAAAAAGTGCCATCTTAGGGGAGGGCATTGTGGTATAGTGGTTAAATCACCACTTCTATGGCCCAAGTCCTTGGGCCCCTGTACCTTCATGGGAGACCTGGAAGAAGCTCCTGGCTTCGGATCAGCGCACCTCCGGCTGTAGTGGCCAATTGGGGAGTGAACCATCAGATGGAAGACCTCTCTCTCCCTCTCTCTGCCTCTCCTCTCTCTGTAACTCCGACTTTCAAATAAATAAATAAATCACCACTGTGATGCTGGCATTCCACACAGGAGTGCCAGTTCCAGTGCTAGCTGCTCAGTGTTTGAACCAGCTTCCTGCTAATGCATCTGAGAAGAGAGTGGATGATGGCTTAACGTGCTTGGGCCCCTGCCACCCATGTGGGAGACCTGGGTGGTATTCCTGGCTTCCTTCTGTGGCCTGGTTGAGTCTGGGTTGTTGCAGCCATTTGAGGAGTGAACCAGTGGATGATGGAAGATTTGTCTCTCTCTCTCTCTCACTCTGCTTCTCAAATGAATAAATAAATCTTTAACAAAATACTGCCTCAGGGTATAGAGATTATGAGTCAAGTCTACCAGTAATTACTGTTTTAAATAAGATTAAGACCCATGTAGGACTGAACTTTCAAGACAGAACAAAATAATTTAATTTTTTAACACAAGTGCCACCTAGATGGTAGATGATAAAGCAGAAACTTTTAGGAAAGCTGCTTACAAAATGATAGAACACATCCAGGGAAAGTACTTCAACTGTGATTCTCGGTCTTGAAACCAATTATGATGACAGTAAGTTTTGGGTAGTTATACCTTGGTTGTTTCTAGAACTTGGAAGTTATTCCAAATAGCAGGCTCTTTCTGGGCCTTGGCCGCAAATTCCATCTCGTATTTTAACAGTCCTTTTCAACTTAGATTGCAAAGCATGGGCAGCAAGTTTTTGAAAACCAAGTATAATTTGGAACATTTCCTTTTATTCCTAGTGATTTGGGAGTGCAACAGCTTGACTGTATCTCTTTGATTGCTGTAGTTTACTGTGACAACTCTTAACATCATGCTTATTCTGACAGAACATGTTCAGTTTCTCTTTGCCCCCATAAATCACATCCTAATTCTACCCTGGTATTCCTGTCTTTTAAGGAGAAGTGAGTTTACCTTTGCCAGGGCATGATGCGTCTCACTTTATCTTACCCAGCTGTGGAGAATGGTGTTACAGTTATTTGTATGATGTTAACAGCTTACAAGACAGGTGCCATAAGCTGGTAAATAATTTTTAGATGGGACAACTTTGCTAGGAGGAATAGTTCATCTCACATATGCATGACACTGTTGGCTTTGAAAACGTGGCTGGAAGGAGGAAACTTCTGTATGCATGGACTGCCTCTGGAACACAATGGTGAGAATGGGGTTATGGCTTGTTTCATATGCCTAGGTACCAGCAAAACAAATGTATTTTTTTTTTTGAGTTTCACTCTCTCTACTACAATATTCACATAAACTCCCAGGTTGGCGAAATTTATTCTGCAACTTAAATTCAGAATTTCAGTGTGTATTAAAATCCACAGCCGTTTCTTCTTCTGCTGAAGATTTTCATTGGCTACACTTGAAATCTCAGGGTCACAAAAGGCACGTGGAAAAAACCATTCATTTTGCTCATCCTGTAGGGTCCTCTTGCTCCAAAGGACTGAAGATAAAGCCATCTATAGAGACAAAGAGGAGGGAAACCCTTTTGTCGCTTATAAGTTGGTCATTAGGCTTTCTATTTCGAACATGAGGAAAAGTACACATTTGACTTCCATAACACTGTTTGTATGTTACTTCTGGGCTTGCACAAGGTGAAATTTGGGTTGAAAATCCAAAGTCAAAGAAGCCTTCTTCACCAAACCTATTCCTCCACCAAAGGGAGAGTAATGTTCAGGTCTGCTGTCAAAACAGAGTTCTGAGCCTGCAGAGATGAATTCAGGTGCCAGCATTCCCCTGCCTCTGGGCTGTACCAGCAGCTCTTCTTAGTAAATAGTGCACCAGTTGCTGCCATCACTTGGCATCAGTCCTCCAGTGATAAGCAAAATAAGGTCGACAAACCACCAAATCCCAAGTCCTCCGAGCGTCAACAGCTTCCCTACTGCTGTGCCGGTGTGTCCCAGACAGAAACGATCCACTCCAAAACAGCCCAGGAAGAAGGAGTACAGCAGGGTGGTTATGAAGTAGTGTCCGGTGTACCTGGACGAAGGGAATCAAAGGGGGCATGTTTCAACACGGAAAAAGTAAAGCGTGTCAAGATGAATGAGTTTAATGCATGTGACGAGATGTTGCAGCAGTCCCTCTGTGGCCTCTCAGCTGCCACTGTGTGTTCTTTTAGGAGGTTGTCAGGCAGCAGTAGCCACAGAGGAGACACGGGAGAATCTCAGAAAGAACAAGAGGTTATTCTACTTGTAGGTCTTAGAGGCAGGAGGCATGGCCCACCATGCAGGGTCACACGGGAGAGAGAACACGGTGCTCAGAAGACAGGAACAAGGGGAAGCCTTAGATTACTGCCTTTGCTGGGGTTTCTGTAGGCAAGGCAAGGAAGGGCCAGGCAACGGTTTGGGACTGGCTACGAGAATAATTTCCACAGGCTCTGAAAGGAAGGCGGCCCCAGAGCTGGCACCTGGCCCTGGGGTGAATAGGCAGAAGTGCTGTCTCCTGGGGTGCACAGGCCTGGCTCTGGATTAGGCTACATATCAAAGACATGCTCCAGGCAGGGCCTGTGCTGTCTCAAGGGTGGACTCAGGAAAGGAAGTCTTTCTCCAACCAGAAAACTTTTTGAGTGTCAAATATTGTAATAGACACATACACACTTTTTTTTTTTTTTTTTTTTTTTTTTTTTAACACTGGCCCCATTCCCCACAACTGATAAAACAAATCTCTGGTTAGTCTAGATTCTTAAAAGAGTAAGTATTTGCTGAGATAGAGAGGACTACTAGGAACAAATTGACTTTTACAGAGTTGGATTGGATGAGAAATCAGGCACACTTGCCTTATAGGCATGCTGGTGGGAGAGCAGTCTGGGCTCCTGTCCTGTACTGCAGGCTCTGAGACCCAGCTGGCTCCCTCTGAGTATTCTTTTTTTTTTTTTTTTTTTTGACAGGCAGAGTGGACAGTGAGAGAGAGAGACAGAGAGAAAGATCTTCCTTTTCTGTTGGTTCACCCTCTAATGGCTGCTGCGGCTGGCGCACTGTGCTGAACTGAAGCCAGAAGCCAGGTGCTTCTCCTTGTCTCCCATACGGGTGCAGGGCCCAAGAACTTGGGCCATCCTCCTCTGCACTCCCGGGCCACAGCAGAGAGCTGGACAGGAAGAGGAGCGACCGGGACAGAATCGGTGCTCCAACCAGGGCTAGAACCTGGGGTGCAGGCGGAGGATTAGCCTAGTGAGCCATGGCGCCGGCCTTCTGAGTATTCCTTAAATGAATGTCTGATCTCCAGACACCTTTCCTCCTGTTTTGGAGGCAGCTAAAAGTGAGGGCTTCTTCATAAGGCTTCTTTCCTTACAGTGTTAGCTACAGTTGCTCTACTATCACCCCTCAATATGGTCTTAGGGAAACCCTACATTAGTTGATGCTATAAGAAAATTCTGTGTCTTCAAACAGAATTTACAGAATGACCTGAATCCTTTAAGATAATTTGATTCTCAGGCCGAGGAGCCCACCTTTTATAAAACCTTTATTTCTCAAATGCTAAGGCAATTTTCATAGAACTTAATATCTACGAGAGGGGAGCAACTGGTTCGACCTGTTCATTTTATAGATAAGAGAACAGACTAAGTACTCAGGGTACTTGCCAGTCAGTGAAAGAGACATCTAGAACTCACAACTTCTGGTCTCCTATCCGTGTCTTCTCTACTATAAACACATGGCTATGTAGATACTTGATGCACAGTAATCATATGACTTCTTTAAATTTAAAAGAAAATGCACATAAAAAGATCATAAGGAAGTGGCTTACGTTCACTTAAGTACCAACTACCCTATTCAAGGTTGCACTTACTTTATACATGGTTTATTCTCTCGTAGGAAGGTTCTAGGACTAGCACACTCAATTCCATCGAGGGCTCGGCACTGGACCGCGGTGTGTTCCACATCACTGTAGGCCTGACCACCAAACTGTGGAATAATAGCCAAAACCAAAATAAAAGCTAAAATCATCAAAGCAAGGAACACAAAAACGTATCTTTGTATCACTAATAAAAGCTGCCTCAGGACTGCAGTTACTCGTACAAGGCTGGGGTAAAGCTTTGCTTGAAAGTATGGAATTGGGTGACATGCTTCAGATGATTTCAGATTAGTTCATCTGAAATGCACATTCTTAAACCCATTTTTCTTCCCCTTCATGACTGGATTCTTCAACACAATACAGGTTAAGCACCCTGAATCTGAACTCCAAAAATTTTCCAAAATCCAAAACTTTCTGAACACTCCAGTGTCACAAATGTAAAGTTCCATACCTGACCTCATGGGACGACGATGTAGTCTAAACACAGATGCACTGGAAATATTGTATAAAAATGACCTTCAGGCTATGTGTATAAGGTCAATATGAGAAATACAAAATCCAAAACCCGAAACACTTTTGGATACAAGCATTTTAAATATGGAATAATCAACCTATAATATGAAAAATATTAATTTTACTAAATGCCACTTGTAAGAGATGACATAATGTTTTAATTATCTAATATTTATGGGAAAAAGAGGATGTGACTGAGCACCTGGGAGTGGGTATTTCAAAAGTCAATGTGTTAACACTGAAGTCTGTTTTATATCCATTATAAATGAACAAGATTAGGACATAATACAGAATTATCATCTGATACAGGATTTTATTTATTTTTAAATATTTTATTTATTTGAAATGCAGAGTGAGAGAGAGAGAGAGACTGAGAGAGAGAGAGAGACAATCTACTGGTTCACTCCCTAAATGCCCATAATAGCCAGGGTTGGGTAAGGCCAAAGCTGGGAGCCAGGAACTCCACCTGTGTCTCCCATGTGGGTGGCAGGAACACAAGCACCTGGACCAAATCTTTACAAAGTGACAACGGGCCTTCCCTCATCTCCCAGGTTACACAAGGGATTTGTAAGGCCCTAGGAATAACCCGGCCCTTCACTCTACATGAAGACCTCAGTCTTCCGGTAAGGTAGAGAGAGCCAACCAGACTCTATGGAAAACATCACAAGTATAGAAATGTGTGCTTGGTAAGGAAGGTTAGAAAGGAAAGAGTGTTCTTGGTAATGAAGGTTAGAAGGAAAGAGTTTTTTTTAATAAGGAAAGGACATGGTTTGTAAGAATGACTTTATCCTGATGGCTAGTTTACTCTAGACTGGAATGGAAATGATGGAATGTTTCAAGTAAGTTGAAGAGGGTGTGTGGAAGTCACAAAAGGTTATGAAAGAGAAAATATTGGACATGCTACTCCGAGAGGTATCTGTGCCATGTTACAGGAAGAATGTTGTCTCTGGGTCAATCAGACTGGACAGGTACAAACCCAAATTTGTACTTTTCCTGGACAAAGCCGAGCATCTCCAGGGCCAGGCCAAGCAGGGCTAGGATTTCTGACCTGACATCTGGTCATGGAAATCCTGGCTATTTCCTCTCCTTGGCCTAATAACTTCTGTAATCTTGTGGCTTCTCTTTGGACCTTGTGTTTTTAATGCCCTTGTTTGTTTTGTCTCTAACAGAATAAAAGCTGTCGAACTCCAAATGGTCGTCAGACAAGGCTTCCAGCCCATTCCACTGGATGATCTGAGCAGCCCTCTGGACTGAGCAGGACAGTCTTTTGTCGCTCCCCGTCTTCGTGGAGGAACGACTCAGGACCCTGCGTTGTTCTTTCGTCTGCTCGGCCCTCCCCGGGTTTGCTGCTGGTTCTTCCCGGGTTGGCTACCGTCCTTTCCACCTCCGTGGAAGGGCGGTTCCCCCTGGCCACTTTCCCCACTTCCGCGGGGGAGCGGCACACCGCCGGCCGGCTCTCTCGGGGGCTGCACAGGTGTTCCTGCAGATAGATGTTCCTGGTGCATGTTATCTCTCTCCTCCTTTATAGTCCTCTTCCACCAATCCCAACTCTGCTACCCACACGCCGAGTACGCTGCTCTCCTCCAATCAGCTCCTACAGTTTATTGGTTGAACTGGAGGCAGCTGTGTAAAAGCTATTTCCTCCTCTCCCAGCGCCATATTGTGGGAGAGCAGATGCATAGAATAAGTCTTAATTCCAGTAACTTAGTCTAGTCCAAGTTGCTCCCAGTTGCTCCCCACAGTCTTTCCAAGGCCACTGTTGCACACCATAAGACAGATAGCAAGAGGAAATACCCAAATCCCCCTCGACGCCCACATGCCAGCTTTGAAGAAGTTACAGAAAACGGAACTCCATCCATAATCCCAAAGAAGAATTTTGGGTATTACCTCTTGAGGGGGGAATGTTAGGTAGGAAGTCAGTTATGAGCTTATGTGTGTGTGACATAAAGGCCTAAAGAGAAGACATTTATGTCCAGCATATGCATCTGCATCTCAAAGTCATCCTGACAATGTTTCAGGGGCAGCCTGGTATTCGCGTCCTGCCCTGCCCTCTTCTACCTGATAACCTGCCAGGTGGAGGTCCCCGCCCCTTCTGCCTGACAAATCTTCCACAATCTCCCAGATGCAGCCCAGTATCTGCACTTCAAACACCCTGCTCTGGATCCCCATTCTCCAGGAAGTCTTGCTCACCCTTCCTCTAAACTCAGGATGGTGCCAGCTAGGCTTCCTCCTGTCTGATACCTTCAGGGGAAAACTCAGAAGTTTTTCTATTTACATCCAAAAAGCCCTTTGTTCCAAGCGGAGCAGAGGTGGGGAAGCAAGACCCATCTCCTTAAAAACCCCCGGCCTCAACCAGACTGCGCGCTCAACCCTCTGCCTCTCTGCTGAGCTGCCCGCCTGATCTGGCCAGGTGTAATCTCTCCACTCAACCATGTAAACCCCCCCTCCCCCCCCCAGTCCGAGCAACTGCACTCTCTCCCAGGTCCTGCCTGGAGAGGTTCCCATCTGTTCTTACGGATGTCCCTTCCCTAATAAACTTTGCTACTTCTACTTTCCACTAAAAAAAAACAAAAACAAAAAAAAACCAAAAAAACACACACACACACAAAAAAAAACTACACACAAAAAAACAAAAAACAAGTACCTGGACCATCACCTGCTGCCTCCCAGGTGCATTAGCAGGAAGATGGATCAGGAGCAGAGCAGCTGGAACTTGGATTGGCACTTTTGATATGGTATGTGGGCCAAATGGTAGATGTTAAAATTTTTTTATTATTATTTTTAAAGATTTATTTATTTGAAAGAGTTACCAAGAGAAAGGGAGAAACACATATTAGAGAGAGATCTTCCATCCACTGGCTTATTCCCTAGATGGTCACAGTGGTCAGTGCTGTGCCAGGCTGAAGTCCAGAGCCAGGAGCTTCATTCACATCTCTCACGTGGGTGGCAGGGGCCCAAGCACTTGGGCCATCTTTCACTGCTTTCTCAGGCCATTAGCAGGGAGCTGGATTGGAAGTGGAGCAGCCTGGACCCCAACCAGTGCCCAAATGGGATGCTGGCTGGCATTGCAGGCAGTGGCTTTACCCACTAATGCCAAGTGGCAGCTTTAAGCGGCTGCACTACAATGTCTTCCCCAGGATTTTAATAAGCAAATAATGAACATGTGATTGTCTGAGCTTCTGTTTTTGTTGGCTTCTTCCCCAACGGGATGAGTCTGGGAAATAAGAATGCTTCCTGTACCTCTTCCAGAACTCAGGTGCCTGACACTCTTAGTCCTTTAGGAGTTCTGGGTCATGTGAGAGTTTGAGCCTCTGGATAGGATAAACTCAGTTTTTAATTAAAATGGGCAAAAGTAAGTGATCTCTATACAATGCAAAGTGATTCTAAAGAAGGCAAATCAAACTTTTATTAATGATTATCAATAGACAAAAATTTCATTGTATTTAAAATATTTCTTCACGTACAATTTTAGAAAGACTCGCTTTTTTGATCTTGATATTGTCAGGTTTATTTCTGTGTCAGATTTAGTATACAAAATGTTCTCGCCTAATTCTCTCATTACCTGGCTGAATCATGGCTTGTGTCATGCAGCATAATGTAATGGTGAGTCCATGGTGGGGTCTGGAAATACCCGGACTTCACTGGTTTTGTAGAGCCTGATTAGGATTAGGGATGTTACTCATGGGCATGAATGGCTTCTTTTCATTCCAAGAGGCCATTTTAACCAAAGGATTCCCCTGGATATGTTAACCTCCTACAAAGACATAGGCTGATAGACTATTTCTAAGTACACTGTGGGGCCTGCTCGCCTGGTGAAAAGAAAGGCCATGGATGGAAGAGCTCTGCCCCAAATGCACATGTAACAAAATGCATTGCAGTGTTAGAAACTGCACAGCTGCCTTCTTGTTCTTTCAGGAGAGTGCACACTTTGGAAGGATTCCAAGGTAACATTTTAGCTTCGCATCTGTCAATCTCAATGGCCAAAGAACCAAAGACAGTTTGGTTTTTGCTCCCAGGTGGTTCTGGCATAGGGAATGCTCTTTCCCGAGAAAACCAAATGTCTTGCTCAGCCACTGACCCTGGCTGTGCAGGAAATTTACAGTAACAGTCACTCTGCTGGGATCTTACAAAAAAGTAATTTTACATTGTGGTTTCCTGCACCAGCAGTTAGCCAGTACTCCTCTTTACAAGAGCTTGCTGACACCACCAATCAGAAACTCACCTTGAGACAACCGTAACCAAGCTCCTGGGACGCAGTTGCATTTCCAATATGGTCCACTGGGTCTTCACATTCTATAAATTCATCGGGTCTGCAAATAGCCAGTAAGATCACATCAGCGTCATCTCTGCAAATTGCTGCTTACAGGGACATAATCCAAACAGGCAAGAGACTTCTTCACCAGGTTTTCTGGGACCCATTGCATTCTGTGGACCCTTTTACAAACCAAGGGGCTGCGCCAGTTAACTGCAATACAGCAGGTGAAACTGACAGCCACACCAAAAGGATGCTTTTGTTGGGCAGGGGAGGTAGCCATGTCTCGTCCTGTTTCTGTATGGATTTTACCTCTGCCATAGCTTCATCTTTTCCCTAAGCCAACACCGCAAGACTATGGGGGGTGCATTTAAGCCAAAGGAGCCTTAGTTCTTTTTGTACTTTCCAAATGCTCTCTTCTTATTTGATAAAATAGACATGTTAAAAAAAAAAAAAGGCTCAGTTTCTGCAAAGGTAAGGATATTAAAAAAAAGCTTCGCCGGCAGGGACAAATCATTCACCCTACCTGTGCCCTACTCGGGTCCGGCGGAAGGTGCACCCTCGCACCCCTCTTCCAGAAGCCTTGCCTCCCGAGGGGGCCTCCCTCGGGACCCCCAAGGCTCCTCCGCCGGCACACAAGGTGTTTCGTCGCCTGGGAGAGAGAGGAGCCCGAGACCTGTCACGGCATTTACCACCAGCTGCCTCCCCCTGACCTGACCCCGACAGCCCGACCTCCACCTCCGACCGCCTCGCCCACCGCGTGGCTTACAGGTAGGAGCACAGGATGACTGGAGACTGGGGGTCGCCATATTCCCAGCTCGGAGCAGCGGCGGGGCTCTCCGGGCGCCCGGCGCCCGCAGCGGACATGAGCTCCGACTCGGCGGTAGCATTGTGCGAGTGGCTCCGAGAGACACAATGCAGCAGCAGGAGATTCCCTAGCAGCAAAGCAGCCTGGCCGCACAGAAGCAGGTAGCTCACCGGGCAGCCACGCAGCACCATCTTCCTGGACCCAGGGCGCCGGGAGACCCGGCCTCACCACACACCCCAGGCCGGCTCCACCAAACCCAGCCCTGCCTGTCAGCGCTCTGCGTCGCCGCGCTCCTCGCTGCCAGGCAGCCAATGCGCGCGCACCTCGACGTCCCGCCCATCCAGCCAACCAACCAGAGAGACCTGAGAGGGGCGGGGCGGGACGGGGCTGCGCTTCGCTACGCCGCTCCCCCAATTCCTCTTCTGGGTTTCACGCTCCACCTCCTTTTGCCCCCGCGAGCTTACCCCAATCGGCTCCTTCGACCCCGAAAGTAGGCGGGGCTAGGAGCGGAGGGGGCGTGGCTGATGGTGACTGACTGGGCGGGGCAGGTGGAGGCGAGAGGGAGCTGCGGGTTCCGAAATCCTGTTCTCCCGCCGGGCGCTGGCTTTTTCCCGACGTCAGCGCAGCGGGCGTGATGTCGGGCGCGAGCTTGGACCGAGGGCCGAGTTGCGTCAGTGCCGCGCGCGTGCTCGTCCCCGGGCGCGCGCGTCCCGGCCAGCCCTGGGGCCCCCGGGAGGGTTGGAAAATGATGGGAGAGGCGGAGGCGACCGAGTGCTGAGCGGGGACCTGCCGACTCCGCCGCGATGCGGTCGGGCGCCCAGTCGCCGTGCGGGACCCTCCGCGTCCAGTGGTTGCTGCTGTTCGGCCTGGTGGGCCCGGTGCTCGGTGCGGCGCGGCCAGGTGGGTGTCTGCCTCCCCCCGCCACAGCCCGGGGTCCCTGGGCTCGCGGGTTTCCTAGCGCTGGACGCCCGGAGCTCGCCCGCGGGGCCGGGGCCGGGGCCGGGGCCGGGGCCGGGGTCGGGGCCGGGGTCGGGAGGCGGGGTCGGCCCGGAGGCGCGTGGACAGCGCGGTCGCCTCAGCCGCGCCCGGCTCCGATTGTCCGGAGCGGGGCGGCCGAGCCCTCTGCGCCGCCGCCGCGGCGCAGAGCCCGGTGCCCGGCCGTCTCGGGACGCCTGTGGGGCGGACGCCGGCCCGGGACGCGGGGCTGGTGCTTGGATGAGGCGGGGGACGGAACTTTGGCTCCGGGTTCTCCGAATTTGAGGTTTTTGTTAGCGGAGTCTCTAGGTCCGCGGAGCTAAATTAGTGATGGAATAAAAGTGGGGGGGGGGGCTCCTTGTCCATGGGCCATTTTTTGGAAATTGTAGGAATAAGAGTACTTTTTTTTTTTTTTACATCTCTCTAGGCAATCTTTTTATTTATGTTTCTACCGGATTTATTGTCTTAAATTCGGACACGTCGTCTTCTGTTTTAACTCCCAGGGTTATCGTTAAGAATTAAATCATCCGCGTAGAATGAATTTTGAGTTGTGAAACTTGCCCTGAATGTGTAAGAGATTTGAAGATAGCCGGGCGTAGTGGGAATAAGTCACCAACATTCTCGCTTCTTTCTGCAAGCAGGTTCCTTATTTTGCCTTTTGCATTAGTGTTTGCATGGCTGTTGGAGTATTTTCTCTGTTCGCAATGGATATGATGGAGAAGGGAGGTTTTTTACCAAATCTTTTCCTTGAGTGTTGTTAAGGGGTGATGAAGACTGCTGACCTTCCGGAAACTCGATACATTGTTTTCTTACTGCGGGCATAGTCTTTTAAAGTTAGTTTTCCCCAGAGAATTCTGAAGGTCTATAAACATTGAATTTTTTGGGGTGGGAAGTTGCCAGATCTTTTCTGGTTAAGACTACTTTTTCTGTGGTTAGCATTTACCTGTTTTAAATTATTCATCCAAAGTTTTAGGAATCCTTGATTCTGTGTGTCTGGGAACGTTAATCAGACCAAAATTTTCATGTTAATGTATGTGTTAATTATTAACAAATCTGCATGAATATATGGAATAATGGAGTATTGAGTTGGTTATTAACTGGCTTCAACAGGTTGTGGTCAGCCCCTTGAGCCTGGCTCAGTGTTTGGGGAGGGACATGGGGTGGCCCAATGTGTTGAGTGTATCTGAGGGAAGTTGGGGACGGTTTTGTTAGAGAAAATGATTGATTTCAGCTGAGCTGTCTCAGGGTGGGAATGCTGTCTCTGCAGCAGAGTTTTTTAAGAGTAGGGGTGTGTGTGTAAAAGTTGGGCTTCTTGGGAAGTGGAGTCATTGTGACTTCAGGCCGTCTTTGTGAAAGGGTGGGATGGAAGATCCAGCTAGGGTAGGTGGGTATCAGTTGGGGAGAGCCTTGGAGGCAGGATTTGGATTTTATCCTCTAGAATGTTCTTTGGGCAGTGAAGGTTTACTTAATCTCAGTTTTGACCTAACAGAGCAGGGAACACAATAGAGGATACATTGTGGGAAGGAGAGACTGGAAGCTGGGAGACCAATTCAGAGGCTTTGCAGTGAGTGTGCGGTGAGTCAGCTCCAGTTTCCCAAGGGGAATGTTCTCTCAAAATCAGCTGACTGCATTTTTGCAATACAGGATGTTTGAAACATACACTGCAACATTTCCTGTTAATGAAAGAGGAATTTGAGGACTTGATTTGTCATGCAAAGTACCAGATACGTTAGGAATTAAGTGTTTTGATAAGAGTTTTACCAACTGTATCACATTGTGCCAATGAGAAAATGCAGTATCGTTTCCAAACAGCTGACTTACAGTAAACTTTTTTTTTTTAAAAACTGGGGCCATCAAAGGGTAACTTTGTGTCATTGTGAAAAATAACAAAAAAAAAAGTGTTGTGATTTTTCTTTTAAGGCACTCAATATGTACACAGACTTAGACTTTCGTTTTTTTTTTTAAGACTATCATTCTAAGGTTTGAAAGCTTATTTATGGTGAATCACAGTTAAAGGAAGTATATAATAACACCTTGGGTCCACACTAACCTTGTTTTTAGATGCCAGCAAATTCTTTGAATGTAATCTTTGTGTTTGTGGTTTACAGGAGAATGTAGTTTTACATGTAAAGGCAGCTTGTTTTATAAACTAGCAAGTAGGAAACATTTATAATTAAAATATATTCAAATGTAGTTGCTAGGTCCCAAGGCTGTTTTCAAAAAATGCTTTAAAATTTTGGGGCAGGATTGTGGTAGAGTAGGTTAAGCTGCCGCCTGTGGTGCAGGTATCCATATCAGTGTTCAAGTCCCAGTTGCTGCACTTCCAATCCAGCTGCCTGCTGGTGCACTTGCGAAAGTGGCAGAAGATGGCTCAAGTGCTTGGGTTCCTGCCACTCATGTGGGAGACCCAGATGGATTTCCAGGCTTTGGTTTGGCCCAGCCCTAGTGGTGGTGGCAACGTGGGGTGTGAATATCTTGTAATGAATGGAAGATACCTCTCTCTTCTCTCTGTCGTTCTCTGTTACTGTAACTTACTTTCAAAAATAAATCTTTAAAAGAAAGACAAAATTTTGCCTTGACTTTGGATTTGCTCATTGTTAAAAATACTGGTTTATTAAAATCCTCCAGAAGATCCAAGGTCTAAGTAACTTGGAGCTTTTTCTTGGAATATCTACAAGCTCAAACACATGGCAGAGATATTCTTAGGATGTTTCTGTTTTCTCCTTAACACTAGTTCTGTACATACCAGAGCCTTGGAGTGATTCCATCCTTGGAGCCTGTGCTGTGAGATTGCCTCATCAATAAATCCAGTCCTTTTGGTGCCTCAGTAACTAATCCCCCACTACCTTTGCATGGGTCTGACGTGGACCCAGCTATGTGGTTTTCATCAGATCATGTTCCCAAAGTGATCAGATGTGGGGCACTTCTTGAATCACATTGTAACAGGGAGTGCAGGGTGTAGGCAAGAGAGGGCCCCTGAACAGGGACAGGGACAGGGACTCGGAGTCTCTGACTTGATTCATCAGAGCTTGTTTTTCTGAGGAGGTTCCTGGAAGGCTGCTTGCACCATGGTGCTCAGAGGGACCCCTCAGGAAAGCAGCAAGAGAACAGTCTGAGGCAGAGTTTTGAACATTGGCTGTATGAAGACTGCTTGAGCAGGAAGGGCCTTCCCACTCACTCTTCTGCACCCCGAAGACTCCCTTAACTCTTGCTATAAAAGCCCTGCCAAGCTGCCTCTCTGGGAGCGACTTTCTTTAGGGAACTCCACTTCCCCGCTGTCTCCTTTATTTGTCAGAAGTCAATAAAGCTGTCCTCTGAACAAGTCCCACCAGAGGCTGATTATCTGGTGACACCCCAAGCAAACAGGCCCCTCATATCTGCTAACAGCATATTCTGAGAGTTAGGAAGTCTTAGCAATTAATTTGATCAGTTTTAAAATACGCAGTTTTTTATTTTTGTATCTTAACATAAGAGGGCAGTAACGCATATTGTAAGTATTACAAGAAAATGGCATCGGGCTGGTGTAGTGGTGAAGCAGATTAAGTTGCTATCTGCAATGCCCACATCCCATATGAGCACTGATTTGAGTCCCAGCTGTTCCACTTGAATCCAGCTGCTTGCTGATGGCCTGGGAAAGCGGTGGAGGATGGCCCAAGTATTTGGGCTCCTGCCACCCAGATAGGAGACCCGGATGAATCTCCTGGTTCCTGTCTTCAGCCTGGCCCAGCCCTGGCCGTGATGGCCATTTGGGAAGTGAGCCAGCAGATGAAAGATTGCTCTCTCTCTCTCTCCTTCTTTGTCTGTAACTCTTTCAAATAAATAAGTAAATGCAATCACTGCCGAAAAATGTGAGACAAAACCCATTCCTTCACATGGGGAATGTCTCTTTCCCTCTGACATATTTTTTTTCTGTAATAAGATTTTCCGTGACTTAACTCATTTTAGCATGATTTTTCCTTTCTATTTGGTAGCTTCCCAGGGCCCACATGCACACAGGCCCTGGAAGAGCCTGCTCCTGATTAGTCTCTCAAACCTTAGCATCCCTCTGGTGATAACACACTGGGCCAAGCTCCCATATCAGCTGGTTACAGGAGTGTTCAGCAGTCTGGGGACATAGCGTTATAATGAAGTGTGGTCTAACTACTAAGGAGACAAATGTGTGGGCCATGTGGATTCATGGAGAAGTTGATCTGAAAGATGTTAATGATCAAAGCAAGGCTCACTTTCAGTTGTATGTGATAATTAACAACCTTGAGCACTACATGTGTGTATACAAACACAGCTGGAAGGATGTGGAGAGGTTATTTACTCAGCACGTATTATATTGAATACCCAGAAATA